TGGGCCTAAAAAACCTTGGTTCACATTCCACTGGGAAGAAAGGTCAAATGGTTACAGACATGCCTAACAGCAAGGTGGTTGAGAAATGAGTGCTAGCTGGGCAGCCATATGTCCAGTTCCTACAGCAGAAAAAAAAAATCTGTTGACACACCTGGCTGTCTATTTACCTTTAGCAAACTGAATACGAGTTGATTTTCCCGCTGAGTGCTAGACAAATCATCCCGTGATTATTTCAAAAAAATGCAGATCTTTTGACTTCTTTTATTTCTTCCTAGAAAATGTCCTATTGACATACAGGTTAACTGTTCTCAGTATTTTTCATACCACGACATCGCAGCTGGCTCTGTAAGTAACAGCCTCCCCATGATTTTCTCACCACGGTTCATATAAAGGTCTGTGGGAAAAGTTGCGATACTGGGGGTAAAAGGAAAGGTTGGTTTTGAGAGAGGAGCTGGATTCTGCCAGACGAGAGAAGAGAAAAAACATTTCAGAGGAATAATTTTGTCATTTGTCTAGGAGTTTCTCGGGGGAAGAATTATTTGTTTTAATGGTGTTATAGCCCAAGCAACTAAGACAGCATCTAGCACAGCAGCCACTCGAAAAATGTTTGCTGAACCAAAGATGAGAAAAGATGTGCAAGGACAACTGACAGGGTGTTGTTACCAAATTTCAACTCTTTATGTCGAAATAAAGCCACAGAGGTGCACAGGGGCAGGTCAGGGGCAGGTCAGGGGCTACAGTACTGCACTGTTGGCAAGGTGGGAGTGGGGGTGGGGAGGGGTTACGGCATAAAAGGTGGGCTGGGGTCAATGTGTTGAAGGTCTTATACACTGTAACTAGGATTTCAAGTTTAGCCATCGGAAGTTTTTAAACAGGAAAGTGACCGATTCAGATCTATTTAAAAAAAATAATTCTGGTAATACTGCAACAATGAATTGGGGAAGAGACAAGAAGACACTGCTTCAAGAGACAGATAAGGGTCTGAACTTGGCTGTGGCAATGGGATAAGAGGCAAGGCATCAACAGCCTGTGAAAACTCAGGTGCAGAATCAACAGGAACGGTGATTACTGATGAGGAAACAAGAAAGGGAGTAGCAGAACTGTAACTGTTTGGGGACGCAGGTGGGAACAACCAGACCATCAGCTTGTTCTGGCACACGCTGAGTGAAGTGCGCGTAACACTTCCACGTGGTTCAGTTAGAAATAGAAACAAAATTAGCGCCAGTTACGGGGCCCTACTCATCTATAGCGTTTAACACATTGCATTGTTAAGTATTTACTTATGAACATGTTTCCTGTCCTACTGATAATTAGGACAAGGATCATCTTCCTCATTTTCACATCACCTATGCAAAATATACAACTAAGTATATAAAAAATGTTTGACAACTGTCAGTGTGTTGTTACCAAATTTCAACTCTGAGCTATAAGTCAAAGCCATATGCAGAAATATCAAAATAACTACCAAACCAAGGACAAAAATCTCATAAAGATATTAGGTGTTCTGTTCAAATGTGATTGAAGAAAGAGTTAAAATTTTTAAAAAAGAAAAATCAACCACGAAACCCAACAAAGATGTATGAAAAGAGGACATAATTGTAGAAGAAATCTGAGAATGAGTTGCAACAGCTGTGAATTGCTTTGCCTTATTCTTTAAGATGTCTTCTCAAGGACTGGCCCCGTGGCTTAGCGGTTAAGTGTGCGCGCTCCACTGCTGGCGGCCTGGGTTCCAATCCCGAGCGCGCACTGACGCCTCGCTTGTCAGGCCATGCTGTGGGAGCGTCCCATATAAAGTGGAGGAAGATAGGCACAGATGTTAGCCCAGGGCCGGTCTTCCTCAGCAAAAAGAGGAGGATTGGCATGGATGTTAGCGCAGGGCTGATCTTCCTCACAAAAAAAAAAAGATGTATCCTCAAAAATTCTATAATTAAAAAAAAGTAATTCTAATAAGCTACATGTAAATATTGGTTAGATTTTCTTGTGTTCACGAATATCAATCATCAGATAGGAGGATATGGAATTCAGATCCTTGACATTAAATAGAATGGGAATGGAAAATAACTTGCAATTTTTGCAAGAATGGATTTGTTAAATTATATACATTTCAATCTATGATATAGACTTTCATGTATGTTTTATCTTGATAATAATATACCTCAAGTAATATCAAACATCTTTGTTAAAAGACATGCCACCATTATCAGATTTCTCAAAAAACACAAATGTACAAAAATATTGGGATAATTCAGTAAACATATGTGGGCAAACTCTCTTTTCTGTTAAAAGAAAATACCAACTAAAGTACCTCTGTGCCATTTTAGGTCAGTGCCATTTTAGGTCAAATCTGAAACCTCTCAAGACTGTTTCAGTCTCTTATTATAGATTAGTTTAAGAAATGCCTCATGGAAAAGATCAGTTCTGGTAACTGGATATTTCTGGAATATTGAAATTCTTCAATTCATGGAGAAACTGTACCTCTCTTTGAAGACTAATAGTTTTTTGGCAGGACATTGTATTATTCAATGTGTTAACTGAATGCTGTCTTAAAAAATAGTGAGTTCTAAATTATCCTATTACACAAGTCCAATTACTGCAGATTCCAAGAGTGGGACGGACAGAGAAGTCATTTTGCAATCACATTTGGTTCTCATTCTCTTTGAAAAACACCAGTGCAGCACATCTACTGTAATATTGGTTATAAATTACTTCCTATTACATTACATCTAAAGGATTAAAACCCCTCAAATGTGTAAAAATACCAAATCACTTCTTTTTTCTACCAATCTTTAAAAAATAGTACCAATGGCTTTAGTCTGAGAAATGACTTTTGGTTTCTTTCTATAGGGATGCTGTGAAAATAAATCATAAATATTCTGCAGATATTTAACTTTTATAAAGTGTTACCACGATTAAGGACTATTTCTTCCTCAATATCTTAAAAAACAGATAAGGTTACACACAGTAACGATTTTATCATTAGCGTCAACAGAGGAATTAAGAAAAAAATGATACAAAAGTTGTGTGAACATCTTGGGGCTGGCCTGGTGGCATAGTGGTTAAGTTCACACACTCCACTTCAGCGGCCAGGGGTTCACGGCATCGGATCCCAGGCGTGGACCTACATACCACTCATCAAACCATGCTTGTGGCAGGTGTCCCACATATAAAGTAGAGGAAGATGGGCACAGATGTTAGCCCAGGGCCAATCTTCTTCAACAAAAACAGGAGGATTGGTGACAGATGTTAGCTCAGGGCTAACCTTCCTCACACACACACACAAAAAGTTGTGTGAACATCTATTAAGATACGTTGTACATGAACCGGTCTTGTATCAGAAAGTATAGCAAGATTAAATTGAAATTTTTAAGTACTTATCATAAATAAGCTAAGCAATTTGACATTTATCTACCTTTTTTCTGTTATTTTAGGATATCTTAATACTTACTAGATTCATTTTGCTAATTAAATATGGAGTCCCAAAATTCTATATACTCTTTTCATGCAAACGTCAGAGGGAAACTGTGCTCCTCCCTCTCTAGACAGCTAAGATTACATGCAATCCACAAGTTTCAGCACATAGGCAGAGCAAAAGGGGAAAATCATATTGACGTACAGTGAATCTAAGTTTCGAATTTTAGGCGTTAATGATTTAAACCTTTTTCCTTAAGTCTGGAAAAATTAAATCCTTTAAAAGAAGTTCATAATCACTGAATAGGCCCCTATCGATGCTTGCACCACATCTGGCAGTGATGAAGACAAATTAACAATAAGATTTTGAAAATCTGGCAATTTGATAAAGCCAAAGCATATGAAATCACTTCTCTGCACTTAGTCACCGGTGGGCCAAGGAAGGATCAACTTCCTGGCTTGGACTCGGGTGTCTAAATGAAAGGAGGAAATATTACTGCAATCTGGGTTCCAGGCTTCTGACTCTCAAACAACAAAGCTCTAAACTCACGAAGCGAGAGAACTTCCCCCAATATATTGAATCCTCTCACAAAGATCTGACAACAGCATAAACTCACACCTCCAACAGGCTAGTAGATTTTAAAGTTTAACGTGCTATATTAATTCCTTTCATGCCAATTTAATTTATATTGGGCAACACAGTTTTTCTTTAAACTACACATGTGAACAAGGATTTACTAAAGAAAAAAATTCCAGTTTCATCATCTGAGTTATTAAACTTAAGTTTGTTTCATTCTGTTACTTCAAACTATATCACTTAGTTTTGGAAATGACTATATTCATGTTTTGGGTGTATATATGCCAGTCATGTAATGACATTTTCACCTAAATACTGTTTAAAGCAAGTATTTTAAATAGTTTTATGCGTTTAAGTAACAGATTTGATACTCAGTTTTTAAGAAGCAGAACTATGACGACCAAATTAGAAATTTTAATTCTTCAAGTTAAATTCTGCAGAATAGCTTAGAAGTACCTCTTCTCTAAGAACTGCTCATCCAGCAGAAAATCAATAAGAACAAGAAAGAATTCTATCAGCATCCCATTACAACCTGAACAGTGGATGAAAATCCACCTCTCCCACAACCGTTTTAACTATAGAAATGTGCAATAAACCACTCTTGTTATAATTAAAGAGGCGGTAAACGTGAAACTATTTGGAAAAGCACAATGCATGAGACCACAGGAGGCAGTATTATAATTAAGGAAACATGGCTTGAGCAGTGATGTAAGCAATGGTGGTTGTACTATACTACACCAGACCATAACAAGAAATCTTTTTTTGTTCATTGAGTTAGAAATAAATTAACGTATCCCAAATCTTTGTAGCTCCTTCTCATTTACAATGTGCTTTCAGACAGTAACCTGATCTGAATCTGCATTACAACCCTGGGAGGTAGGCAGAATGCTCGTTTTTTGCTCATATTTTAATGTGCTGAGTATAATTTTCATCAATTTGAGACACGATAATATGAAATGAGCCTACAGTGTGGTGAAAGCAATAAAAATTGTTATTGTATAGATGGGGCTTGGGGTCAAAATGACACATTTTATTAAATGTAATGTGCAAAATAAAATGAAGTGACCTCTATCCAAAAAAGGTACAAGACAGGTATTATTTAAAATGCTTTAGTACTCGTTTTCAATAAAAAGAAATCTGGCATTATAAAAATACATAAAATAGTCATGAATCTATACCATTAATTTACATAAGATTTTTTTTTTGCATAAAACAAAGTTATAAAATAGTTTAAAAAGGTATTCTTATATGAAAGTTACTCCCAGTATAAAATTTTTTATAACTTTTTGTTATTTTGGTCCATCTGTATAAATAAGACATTTTATCCTTTTAAAATTCGTAACTCCATTTAAAAACATAGGATTGTCTCTTTTAAATAAAAGTCCACTTGAGGTAGTATGTTAGAACTCTCTTTGGTCCCATTCAGTCTATGTGTCCAAGTCATAAGACTGAAAATTTGGAGTCCTGTGGTTTTCTAAGGTCTGTTTATAGGTACATGTGTGATTTTCTTGCTGAAAATCTGTCCTTTCTTTCCCATCTTTCTCTGACTCAGAGTCCAAGTCCAGGGAAGAACAAGCTTTCAAGTGGAAGGCTCTTGGCTGACAATCTGATGACTGACCGAAGCTTGCAAAGGCATCCAGGTGAGCTCTCCTCAGAGACTTCCCAAATGTGCCTGAAAGAAAGAAACCCCTTGAGCATATGAGTCCTTCTGCTGGCATTTAAATCAATAAAACACATTTCAAATTAAGGAGCATCTTACCCTGTAAACATGCACAAGCATTTTCTAAAAGTCCACATTATGGTACTCTGGTGTATGTGTATCTGTGTTATGGAGACAGTACTTAAAGAGGGGAGCTGAAGATATCTGTACACCTCTTATTTATATCTACTGAATAAATGCATCCATTCTTTATCACTTCTCATGACCTATAGCAATCTCAATCACTGAGCAATGAAATTCTCCCATAGAAGTTCTCCCAAATCCTAGCTTCAGTACTCAAGAGCCCAGAGTTCTCCACAAAGGGCATCTGGATAGCAACCTACAAGTAACCTGTGCCAGAATATAGCAAATTTCTGTCCAAATATCCTTGCGTCTTGCCCTTTCTTCTTTAGTAGCAAAATATTATTCAATTGACTCAAATTCTTGCCTCAGTCATATAAAAGATATTATTTCCACTGTTTCAAAAAGGAATATAAATAATTATACTGTGACAAAACATAAAATTTCTTAAAAGCTGGGTAAAATATTTTAAAAATCTATTTTTTTTTTTTTAAACAAGACCAGTTGTGGTTCATTTTCCCATATCTCCATCCAATGAAAAGATGATCTCAGATCTTCCATCTCATTGTCCCCCTGCACTAGACTGAAAAATCAACGAATGAATCTTGGTGCCAGCCAGTGTCTTCCACCACCAAGGTGGGCGTTAAGACTCTGATGGTCTCCTTTCTGAAGGGGGTTCAGCCTGGCTGCCAAGTAGGACTCTGTCCAGACTTTGACGGCGGGTTCAGTTATGAGCCACCAGAGAGCCCAAACCACAATCATGCAGTGCACACAACTCCACCCCAAAGGCTGTTTTAGCCCAAAACCACTTTTTCCACATGGTTGAGAAAATGAGCTCCTAAGTCACCCCCAAACTCTTGTTTTCTGGATGGTGCCACACACAGTGGTACCCAGAAAGCTCCCAAGGCTTAGTCTGGATTAAATACATAATCAAGTAAAATCCCCCATGTCTGACTTTGCTTTTAGAAACATCTATGCTAACTAATAGAATGTCATGACAGCATCATTAAAAAATAATAAACAGAAAACATTTTTCACCAGTTTGGTATTCAAAGCTCTCGTTGCTCTCCCACAAGCAACTTGGAACATGGGTCTTGAGTCAAGGCATCTAATAATTTCATAAACTTACCCATGAAAGAATTACTCGAAGTTACTGATGCTGGCTCCAGACTCGGACTGAAATCTAGAGAGGGCTTGTTTAGACACACATTTCTCACTCCGGGTCCTTCACCTTGAGAGTAAGTGGAGCTGATGAACCTCCTCACGTGTGAAGGCCATCCTGCATCACCCACACCCTGTTCGCAGGACTCCTCTGAAGGATGAAGACATGGGTAGCACTCCTTTTTCTTTATGTAACTGGGCTCATAGTGGTCCACGAAAGCTGTTCTTGGGTCAGGACCACAACCTTTTTAATTTGGGGGGCAGGATCAGAAAGAGATGGAGTTAGTGTTTCTAGAAGTCTCTCCAGAAAACAGAACTCAGATAAGAGAACCACATACCTGCATGATAGGCTTCAAAAGGATCTGAGCCATATACACTCCCCTTCAAATACACAGGGCCTGAGGATCCCAAGAAGGGACAAAGGAACGGGTCTGTGGCAACCTCCACATCGGCTTCACTGCTGTTGTCCACGTGGCATGTCCCTTTAAAACATATCTCAGTCACTGAGCCCATTCCATGCAAGTACCATTTCTCTCCACTTTTGGCATTTTCCATCTTTACAGATGAAAATTTTGGATAAAACGCCATATAAAAGAAAAAATTGCAGAAATTTATAGTAGGAGTTTTAAAAAATTTATTGAGGCCTATGGATTAGTAATTGAGTAAATTTGAGACATCTGACTAATAGATACTTGATTAACCATTGTACTGCATGTGTGAACCTGGTTGCTGGCCCCACCTGGTTTCCAAGAGAAACTGATCTGTGTACAGATCCTGCAAACAAAGCAGGCGTGGTTTACAATACACGATGCCATCAGCGCTGCCCCCTTCCTCCAGAATGTCACAGATGACCAGGACCAGGGACTGGCACTTAACCAAAGATCTCTCACTGCCCAGCTCAAAGATAAGCTCAGCCAAAAAAAAATCCTATTGTGAGTGTCTGAGCTAAACAACCTAGAAATGATATGCCATTAGCAGTGGACAGAGCAGTTGAAGGAAAAGAGACATTCTAAGGGTGAGAGATGCCATGAGGGGCCATGTGCCCGGGGAGCAGGAATTGGGCAGTCAGAGGGTGGGGGTGGTCTCAGAGAGAAGCAAAGGTGCCGAATGTGACTCAGGAGTGCTGTGGCCTCCAGAGCTGCTCAGAGAGCTGACCCATCTCCAGCCCCAGCGTCCACGCAACGAAGCACTATTATGTTCCAGTTCTGTCCCTTTACACTTTTGTAAATGTCTTTTTAAGTAAACCCTGCTACATTCGAATGAGCCTGGGTCTCTGCTCTTTCCAACCTAATGAGTCTAATCAAAACGCCCATTGTTATGCTCAAATCTTCTCTTCTATCTCTACACCCTCCATCACTGTCTTGCCAAACACTTTATAATTATTTGTTGAATTTTTTTTTTGTAGCTGAGGAGGATTGTCCCTGAGCTAACATCTGTGCCCATCTTCCTCTATTTTGCATGTGGGACGCCACCACAGCATGGCTTGACAAGTGGTGTGTTAGGTCTGTGCCCGGGATCCAAACCTGCGAACCCCAGGCCGCCGAAGCAGAGCATGCAAACTTAACCACTATGCCACCAAGCTGGCCCCTATTTGTTGAATTTTTTGTCTCATCACTGACTAAACTGTGAAACTGAAAACAAATATTCTTCCCTCTCAACTATGGAGCCGACCACAAAGCAGAGACTCAATACACACTCGTGGGAAAAGACGGCAACACGTTTGAAAATAATGTCAACAGCTTCCACTTGTTGAGCCCTCAGTGTGTGCCAAGCACCATGTAGTTTTCCGTTATCGTTTTATCCACTTTTCACAACACCTAATAGGGAAGGAGTGTAATTGCCCAAAGATGCACAGGGAGTGCGTGTCAGAAGTGGGTCTGGAACCAAGCCTGCGCTCTTGTATTATGCTGCCTCTATTATTATTATTCTTAAAACCATACAATTCTGAAAGCAAGAGTCAGAATTAGATTTCCCTAATAGAATGATTTTAAATTATCTGACTTTTAAGACCACGCATGAAACCAGTTAATGTCATTTAAGTACGGAGAACATTCAGGGCCAAGTAACATTTACAACGTAACGAAAATATTACATTGCACGGAGGAATTAAATTTTACTTAACCCACTTGTCTTCTTTTAGTGTCAGAAACAAAGATTTTTCTAGTATTTAAGAGAAGGGCATAAAACTATTTAATTTCAGCTTTGCTAGTGATCTTGGGCCAGGTCCTAAATATATCAGTGTATCAATTTCTCATGAAAATTAATCTTATACTTGATTTTCCATTAGATTCTTTCAAAACAACTATACCCACGTTCATTTTAAATACCTACCATTACTGTCGTGTTGTGGTAAGAAAAATCCGCCTCCTGAAGAAGTGACGAATTGGTGGTGGCTTCCACTTTCCGAGGAGACGTACCCATCCTGTCTGTCAGCCAGTGTTCCCTGAGAGGACAGGTAACTAGGGATATCTGCCGGCAGGTTGGTCTCATCTGTAATCAAACAATAGCATTCTATTAACAAGAATGATCATAAATGCCCCACAGGCCTCCCCGATGAACGGTATATACTGTTTTGGTTTCCGTACAAATCAAAGAAATCTACTCTGCAAAACCATCTTGATGGGGCAGGATTCAGGTCAGGCAAACCAAGGATCTGCTGCTCTGGGAAGCATGAGCTGGTTTTCTACTTTATTGCCTGTGAGATGCTCCTCCCAAATTTCAAAAACGACAAATGTTTAAAAAGATAAAGGTTTAGGAATTTTCATGGGGTAGTATCAAAGCTCTTGAATTAAGCTTGATCTCTGCCATATTCCAGGCTTAGTATCATTCATCGATATAGGTGTTGGCACATATTAGTCAAGTCATAGCCCCTCTCCCACTAATACTAGAATCCTCCCTAAATGCCTGAATACATAAGACACAACAAAAACTACGGCAGAGTGTAAACCTCACAACTGAGGGCTTATTCCTGGTTCTCCATCACCATCTTGTGAAGGAGTTGTTCACTCTGTGATTTGGACTGTATCTCACAGCCAACACGATATTCGGATGAGGTTTTAACAAAAAGCATTAATCTTAATTTAGCTTTATTCTGGGCTGGGGTGTTATTTTTAGCTAACCATATTTCTGCAGCTTGAAACAAATGAGTCACCCTTCTGACACGGCCTCAGACTGCAAGACACACATTCTTAGAAGAAAATTACCACAAGACCACGAACACATGACACCACACCCGGTGCCAGGCTTCTGTTGACACACCTGTGTTGGTAATGCTGCAATCCTCGTTCCTCCGCCTCGTGTGGTAGATGATGACCACCCAGACGAGCGACGTGCCCACCACACAGCAAACCACCGCTATGATCACGACGCCCACAGTGGCCCAGCCGTCATCGTCTAACGACGATGCGGTCATCTGAGGGGAGTCGCAGGTGGGCGTGGGGATCACACTCAGGCGCACGTTGCCTCTCTCGGTGCCCAGGGTGTTAGACATCTCACACGTGTATTTCCCAGCGTCGCTGACATCTGAGTCCACAATGATGAGCAGCTGATTGCCTGCTGCGAAAAAGTGCCTTTCAGTGACCACCAAAGGGCTGTCATCCTTGGTCCAGTTCAGTCTGGGAGGAGGGCTACCTCCCGCGATGCACTGCAGGACGGCCGTTTCTCCCTTGGTTACAGTTCGGTCTAAGAGGGGCCGCAGAAATGATGGTGTTTCTGAAATGACAAGTTACGTTTTTAATCTCCTAAATGAAATTAGGTTTTGCATATCGTAAGACCTAGCACCTGAACTTAGTCAAATTGGAACCTAAAATTGCATTCTCCCACAACTTAATGTGCTTGCTTCTTTAAGAGCCTAAACATGTACTCAACATTTGGGATTTCATTTCATTATTTGGCTGTCATTTACTTATAATGCCAGTTAAGGATAATATTTACTACTTTTTTATCTCAATCTCCCTTACTCTTGACAAGGCTGGGGAATGGTGGCAGAGTGGCAAAGCAAAACATTTTAGACATTTCTTAGAAATAGAAAATGTACAAAAATAATTTCAAGCACAAAGGTGTGTTGATGGATGAAAAGAAAACAAGAATGTTTAAATTTTTAAAGGGAAGCTTTCTAGTGCCAGATAACCAGGCCTATATTAAAATCCTGAAAATAATGTACTTTTATTATTTGGTGTTCATGCGTTACTTTGATTAACTCTCAAAGATATACGTATGATTAACATGTTCATATTTTTTAAAAGCATCTGTTTAGGTCAAAGACGAAAGATGAACTCTGATTTCCAGAGTGGTACGGGGTCCCGAGAAAAGAGAGCAGATCCTTCCCAATTCGTTCATACGTTTACTTTCTTGCATGTTCTTTATAGTGTTAGGACTATTGGTAGACCCTGCATGAGGGGAAAAGCAGAGGATGGTGATTCCTGCAAAAAGGAAACCCTCAGAGCATTCCCTCTTCCCCCCTGCTCAGAGCGGATGGAGCAGAGTCATCCCACCGGCCCGAGACTTGAAGATGTATTGCGCGTCTGACTTCAAAGGCTCTGAGAAGCCATTAGTTCTCTCCAGGAAAGGGCAGTGTCCTGTGAATCATCTCTCCCCGAACAACGTCTGACACTTAGGGCTTTCGGGTGAGCTAGGATCTTTAAGACTAACTTACATCACAGAATCTGAAATCATCCACTCACCCAGGACAGTCAGGGTTGCATTTGCAGAAATGCTTCCCGCGCTGTTCTGAGCTGTGCAGCTGTACACCCCGATGTCCTCTATCTTCACATCCACGATGAAGAACACGTCATCCTCAGGCATGACGTGCATGCGTCTCTCCCTCGCAGCAGGGAAGTCTGTACCCCCATCCTTCTGCCAGGCGATCTGCGGGGCTGGATGCCCCAGGGCAGCACACTCCAGGCGCGCCATGGCCCCAGCACGGATGGTAAGGTCCATGGGGGTCTTGGTGAACGAAGGAAGCACTGAAATCCAAAAAATAACATGGGCATTAGTGCTACGGAGTTTCAGAGGTTCATTTTCATTCCTTTTTTTGATACGTACAAACGTCCCTGATACAGGTAAGGCAGGGGTTATTTCCAATCCCAAGACAAGGAGGCTAGAGCTGAGATGGAGAGATCAAGGGATGCCCTCCAGGTGACACAGGTACAGAAACAATGGAGTCAGGATAAACACAGGTCACCTGATCTTCAGACTGAAGGTCTTTCTGCGATTTCCCAGTCACTGTTTAGTTTCCTCAATAATTATTTGCGAGATCTTGGGCAAATCAATTAATCTACACCTTGACCATTGACTCCATCTTTTCTTTTTTAAAGTCCCTCCTGGCTCGACCATTCTGTGACTTTAGATGTGTGTTTTGTCCTAAAATTTTAAATGCAAAATTGTTCTCAGTGTCAGCCCTCAACATCATTTGTTGAATGAATGTATTAACGAATCACATACAAAACCCTCCACCATGGAAGATACAAACGATTAAGTGATAAAGTGGCAAGGATCCTATTGTAAAACTGCATACCTGCCACACACAGCAAATGATGACATACTTTTATTAACAGCAGCCAACACATAAAGCATTTACCGAGCACTTACTGTATTCCAGGCCAATGCCTGGATTCTGCTAATTCTTTTACACAAATTATTTTATTCAATGATTATCATACCTCCATAAGGTAGGTACTATTATTCCAAATCCTAATTGAAAGATGTGGAAATGGAGGCACAGAGAGGTTAAATAACTTGCTGAGAGTCACACAGCTATAGGCAGGAGTGGCAAGACTCAAACCCAGATCTCTGAGTGAAAGGTGCTGTGCTCTGACACTGCACTTCGTGGCTTCCCACATCAGACCACTACTGTGAAATCCCAAAGAGCCGAACGTGTCTGGTTCATCCCTGTGTTACCCACCACGCTAAGTATGGTGTCTTCAATGTACTAACTGCTTGCTTAGATACAAATAACCAAGAATCTTCATTTTGTGGAGGGCGAGGGAGGGAAAGGAAAGGTTAGGTGGAGAACGATGAGAACAGAGGACGGGGTTAGGAATAGAAGAAGAGAGGAAACCAGGCTCCTGTCTCTAAAAGGTGTCTTTAAACACAAAAGGAAAAGTCACAGCACGTACTATTGACTGTAAGCTTGGCTTTGACAGAGTAGGATGAACCAAAGTGATTGGAGATGACACACTGGTATTTCCCTTCACTGGAAAATTCCACGTTGCGGAGCCGCAGGATGGTGGTGTACTCCATCACCTCACCCCCTTGGGCCCGGAGGTGTGCATAATTCTCCATCTCAGCATCAGCCAGTAGCTCATTGTCTTTTTTCCAAGCAAAAGTCATCGGGGAATCACTGCTGCTGGCAGCCGAGCAGATAAAACTCAAATTGGAACCTTTTATTGCCGACTGGGTTTCTGGCTGAACCGTGATCTGGGGTTTGGGAAAATCATCTGTTCAAAACGGAGAGGAGGAAACGAAACCACTTGAAGACCCGAGAGTCCAAATGCTGCTCTGATTTGAACACCAAGAAACTCAAAACAAACAGCGGCCTGGGGTTCACCCTTGTGTATGTTTCACAGATGGACTGGCGGCCTCAGTGTTGAAATGACGGCCCAGCAGAGTGTTTATAAAGTAATTCATTCATTTCAAATACACTGAGACCTACTTATCAATCATTAACTGAGAGGGGACTATTGTTTTGGAATATATTTATTCCAGAACCCTCGTGGTTTTTTTTATATAAATACAAGAGAAATCAGTTAAGAAACTTCCAGGCTCATGGATCATCTTTAAATGCTACCATTAGAAACCGCAATTTTTCCCATATTCTCCATAAATAAGGAGCAGCAAAAGTAAGAAATCAAACATCAATAATGATAATCAATTATCACTAAAGACAGCAACTAACATCCACATTTACCAAAAACAGAACCCATATTAAAGAGCAGTAATTTTTAGGTAGAGCAGAAAAAATAACCATGTAGTGAAAGAAAAAGTATCTCCAAAGCTCACAGCAAGACCCTGGCTTTGGCCTGGAATACAGAATGGACAATCAATCAGGCCGCCGTGCTACACTGTCACAGCCACGTTATAATTAGAGCTAAGCAACTCTTTCATTCCAAACAGTTATTTTTAGTTCTCTGTTACTTTTTGGAAAGGTTACCTTTTTGAACTTCAGTTTCTCAGAGATGGTCTAAACCCAGAAGGAAACATTGTAGATCTACCAAAATGTATTATTTGGGTGCTCTGAAAAAATAATGCGTGTGCGCGTGTGAATGGGGTGTGGGGGATGCTCTCATAACTCCAACTCCATGCCTGCATGCTATAAGTTTCTTCTCCTGTATGATTCTTCTAAAATTCTTATCTGGTAAATCAATGTTCAGATGCACCATGGAGGGAGTAAAAAATCTATGGATACTATATATATGTCTCAAAGTAACAGAGTTCATATCTTGGGACTAGAAAACTGTAAAATAAATACCCATGGGAAAGACACAGCTCAGGCCCTTACAGATGGTTGCCAAAAGCTTATTTAGATCCAAAAGCTACACCAGATGTTTTGTTTCCAGAAACTGCTGGCACTATTTAATGCTGCAACCTAAAGAAATATATTTCTCTTATACTTAACTGAACAATCGTAGGCAAAGCAGTTTTAAATAAATTTTTAAAGGCCAATGCAAAATTAGGTTCTGTAATATCTTAACACACGTGCTTAAATTTAAGCAAATTTTGATTTCACGTCCCAGACGCACATTGATTTTTACAGAGGTCTCCATGGCAGTGACCAGCAAGCATCAGGGCAGCGTCGCAGAGAGCAGGCTGCACCAGGGAGGCGAACGCTGGGGTTTAATCCAGATCTGCTAACCCGCTATGTGAAGTCTGGGTAAGCAGGCTTTCAATGCTGAGATGCTTGGATGCTAAAACGATGGACCTTCAATTTATTTATAATAAATTCAAACTTTTTATTACTTGTAATGCTTTACCCGCCCATAGTAAAATTTTTAGCAGCCTATAAATCACTGGCTCATAATTTTCTCTTTCTACTCCACACACATAGCATTTGCACAGAGTTTTGTTCAGTCTCTTCACTGAGCTCATGTGAGTCTCTCAACAATCCAAGGAGTCGGGGAGGCCAGAGAGCAGAGCCCCCATTTCACAGACGCACAGGCTGAGACTTAAGGGATTTAAGTAGGAGGGCTGAGACTATCCAATTCTCCCAAGATCCAACACCATCATCTCTCTACCAAACCACCCTGAGGCCAGACCAAAGACGAAGAAATTTTAGAAAACTCTTTTTCTCATCTATAAAATTAAAATAGTCAGCCAACTATAGATCTATTTTCATCTACCTCTGCAGAATTAAAAGCTTTATTAAGAGAACATAAATTTATTCAAAACCATTATTTGGACAAATGGGAGAAAAAAAAAGAAGAATTAATAAAAGGCAGAGGCAAGAGTTATACTCACCACACACAAAGCCATCTGGGCTAACGGCAAAAATACTTCTTCCTTTTAGCAGCTGAGGATGGGCACAACTGGCATTTACAAAGCTCTGAAAGTTGTTTTCCGCCACCCACTGTGGGAGCCATTTTAGCTGGCAGTCGCACAAAAGGCTTGATGTATTTAAATGCCTGGGGAGAGTAATTACGTTCAATTTGTTTTGTATGAAATGCAGATTTCTACAAGTAAACTAAACTTGAGTAACTATTAACAAAGCAATGAATGTGGAAACCAAATACACACATCCCATGTAATAAATATGCTAGAGTCCATCTTACAATGCAAGAAATGTTAACTAGTACCATTTTTTGTTATTGTTCTTACCTACCTACTGAGCTAGAAGTGCTGATATATCAAAAATAGCTTCCTATGGAAAACTTGTCACTATGATTAGGCACCAGGTCCCACAAATTTAAACTGCAAATTCACAACAGAAAGAAAAAGAAACTCCTCTTTTCAGCAAAGAGAGCCAATAACCAACTCCTTCTGCTTTCCGGCATAAAGATTAAGTAATGTTAAGAATGTGCTAGACAGTTGTTCTAGATAATCTAGGATAACACACCCCTTGATGGTTTCCCCCTCTACGCTTTATTTGAAACTCTTGGAAAGAAAAGAAAAGCTCACAATTGTTGAAGTTTCTTCATTTGTGAAAATGCATTGCCTTGTAATGACATGATTGCGTTGTCACTCAGATCTCTGAAAACAACCAAAAACAGATACATTAGAGTGAATTACAGTCACTGAGTGCCTTCAGACAAAGGTTGGGCCAACACTGCTCACCCCACTCACCAAACAAATACTCTATGTGCTGAAATGCACAAATGGGGTGACTCTCGAAGAACCCATTAGGAAGCCTGAATTGATGGGAGAACAAGGATATTTGTACCGGAGGCAGGTTCTGTTACGGTGAGAGAGTCCCTTCTCATCACCATGGACAGGTTATTTGACGCATAAGGGCCTAAGCTGTTCTCCTGTATTATTTTATTGTATTTCTCATTATTCAAATTAGTAACCATTAGTAACTTCTAAATACACAAATAAAATTCCTCATAATTATGCTTTAAAAAAATCATCATGTATAGAATACCTTCTATGATATGCAGTGTTAAGTGATTCATATTTACATACATATTATTAAATTTATTCCTCACAGCAATCCAAAAGAAAATGGTATTACTACCTTGCTCAACAAGAACGGGGCAGCTACGATCTGAACTCAATTATTTTCAATTTCAAAACCTACACCCTCGGTCACTAGCCTGTTCTGCCACACACAGCAGACAGTAAGGTGTTCAGACAAGATGTACTTGTTAAAAAAAACAAACACTTCAGGCAGGACATTCATAAAACGAGAGAATATCCTGGGCTGATTTTATTTTTAACTAGTGCTTACAAGCAGTGTGAACGAGAGGACTCTCCACAATGATTACTGCTCTTTTTCTTACAGGAGTCAGAGTACAGAAAGGGATTTGTAATGAGACAAGTGGCAGCAGAAGACAGAATGAAGGTACCAACCATGGGCTGGGAGAGTCGAGAAGGTTCAGAAAATTGGAGCAGAGCTTAATCCTCCCCTGATGCACTAATTCTACTTTCCCAGAAATGGAACGGGTCAGATGACAAACGCTTTTGCTTAGTTTCCCTTTGAAAATAAATTTGTTTCAGTAAGGCCAGCCATATAGGTCCACCCTTCCAATTTCTGCTTTGTAGAATCACCCAACCACGGCCTGAACTGCTGCACCGTCAGTACGGCTACAATCCAAACCTCCCTCAGACTGACAGGTAAGTCAGAAGATGACAACAAGGTGATCCACAGACAACAGCTAAATCGTCACTCTCTGTACACAGCACAGAGGTGGCTACAAACCAAATATGTATTTTAAATGATAACTTCTTTTTGTCCCACTTAACAGATATCAAAACTTCTGGCTACAAGCATTCCTTAACAGTCAGAGAGCACAGATTTTATATTACTCTGTATTTTCACTGTACAAGTGTAAAACACATGCCCAGGGTTACGAGCAGCTGGGTGGTTTGGTGCTCATGCAGGACTGACTCCTATCAAGGTTGGCTAGCTCGCTCTGCCAGGGGCTGAAAATATTTGAGCTCCTAAATGTCATTTCAAAAATGTATGCCAGGAGTGACTGAGGGGAGCAGGGGCAGGGAGTGTGAAGGCCAGAGCTCACATGAAGTAGGGACATTGTGAGGCAGAGGCGGCCCTGGCTTCAGTCCTGGTTCAGCCAGTTGCTAACCGATGGGTTAGCAGTAAAAGAGAATAAGAAAAAGAACAACGAAGGGGGCAAATTGGTCGTCTGTTTTATAATTAAACAACAGTAACAATGAACGAACAAAAGTTCTCCAAGTAGTGTTAATACCCGCCTAATGTCACAGTCAAGGACTGCCAGGAATTGTCTTTTCTGATCTTTAAAATCCAAGTCTCCTTAACTGTCCGATGGAATCAACGAACCCTCAGAACCTCCACTTCTTAACTTAAAAATAAAGGTAATAGCTATTGAATAGTTTTCTTGTGAGGAGTAAATGAGACAATATATATAAATACCTGGCATGGTGCCTGATGTGTGGTGGATGCACAATAAATGATAGGGTTCTTTTTAATTAAATTATCACCACTTGAGAAAAATAACTAAAAGAAAACCCAATAATGCTATGCAGCAAGGTCCTTGAACACAAAGGAAAATATGTAGCTGTTTACCTCATATAGATATAGACAGATACACAGACAGGTACATAGATAGATAGATAGGCAGATGGATAGACAGGTAGGTAGGCAGGTAGGTAGAGGACAGGTAGATTTGTAAATGTCTTTACGGTACTGAGAAGATAAGGACAAAATTACATTCTAGTTTGTTTTATCACACATAAGCAGATCATCTCAGGCTACCTTTAGGGGAACTAAATTCAGCTACTCACAGATGTTCTAATGCATCCAAACCAGTGAAGGCTTTTTTGGTAATAGATCGAATCCGGTTTCCCTGGAGTATTCTAGGAAAAAAAAAAAAAATAAATTGGAACAGTTAATAAAAGCAATTTTGAGGTGGAATTCTCATGAAAAGAACTGCTCTTTAAATCACTTGTGAATAATTCTATTTCTTTTGATTAAACAATATATCCTGTAAAAATATATCTGTGCCATTTATTTCGGTAATACAGTTCAGCATGGTTTTCAAAGCATTCAACAGAAAACCCAGTACAAACAGGTATTTGATAAGTTCCTCTGATGGTTAAATTAAAGCAGTGATTTTCAAAGATTTTTTAGGAACAGAAGAAACTTTATTCCAACTAAACTGTTTTTTAGGAACAGAAGAAACTTTATTCCAACTAAACTGTCTCAGAACTCTAATAAATAAGGCAGCTAATAGTAGAGACTCTCACCTCATCCTCCCTCCCCGTGGATACTTTCATCATCCACAGAAGTTTAGGGCCATGTGTAAGTCAATTTGAAGACCACTTGCTTAAAACACAGAATTTAGCCATCTACAAAGCCACTTTATGGGTAAATATAAGCATATTTTTATCCTGTATTGCTTGAACCCTATTGCAGTATTATCAGTGGACACTAGATCACTTCATTTAAAAATTCCCGTGAGCAGAGTGCAACATCGAAAGTGTCAAATGTTGAACTTAGTAGGGGCACTAACTTTACACAATGATAATCCCAAGAGTCTAAGCACTCAAAACAATTTAAAATTATCCAGATATTAAAATAAGTTTAAACTAACCAGGGTGTTGAATAAAACCACTGTACCCAAGGAAGAAAAGCCATCCACATCTTACAACAGCTCTCATTGGCGAAATGACAAAAGGTAACAACCATTTAAGCTCCTATTTCTAAAACTCTTCCAAGACGTCAACCTATGGAACTGATTCAAATCACAGCAAAATGTTCAGGTCAGAGGGTGAAGCAAACCATACTCACAGCCGCCTCAGTTTGTCAAGCCCAGAGAAAGCACCATTCATGTCTTCAATAGTCCAGGAGATTTCATTGTTCTTCAGATCCCTAATCAAGAAAAGGAATGTTCCTGAAACTAGTATCAGGTACCGAACACAAGACACAGCATTCTCTTTAGAGGCATGCTCTGAAGTCTAAGATCACCACCCAGGTGGATGTAATTTGTAATAAATTCCTCATAATCCCCCACATCAACTCCACCCCTTTCAAAAGAATAGAAAACTTTTTCTCGCTCCAACATACCACTCACACCCTGCCCCCCTCCCTCAACATTTTATGGTTTTACCCGAAATCAGGACAGTCGACTCTGGCCCTATTAATTCCTCTATCAACATGACTAAGTTCTGAAAGACTTGAATAGTCTGAAAAATACATTAAACTTTAAAACCACTGCCCCAACCACACAAGCAGGAGTTCGCCAAAGTATACAGCATGTCTTCCAATGATGTAATGCTTCGAATAGGGAATGGAGAAAAGGCTTCTGACAGTGCAAAAATCAAAAGCCCATTGCACAACATGAAAATGAACATTCGAGAGCTTTTTCAAAGGTCAATTAATCCAACTCCCTCTTCTTAGGACAGAGGTCAAGTCTGGATACCACTGGTATGATAAACGGGCATCTTCCTCTGCTGCCCTTTGTCTATCTTTTCGCTTGGGGTAATTTTTAATCTGCATATTATAAAGAAAAATTAGTGGATTTAAAATTGTTTCCCTCTTGAGCGGTTACCAACTTCCTGGAGATCCTGAGAAGGCCAACTGTAATCACCCAAACAATCTGATCGCTGTCCTTTCTAAGCCCTTTAAGAAACACATATGGATGAAATGGACCGATTTTAATCAAACTGATCTGGGAAAGATTAAGACACTACTTCTGAGGCTGCACACATTTCCTTCACAACAAAGGAAATCTGCTTAGAGAAAAGTGGGCACATTTAGGAACCAATTAGGTTCATGGATGGAGAGCAGAATGTGTAACTTACAAAGTCTTTAAACTGGAAAGGCCCCGGAAGGCACAATCAGCGATGTAGCTCACTTTGTTGTTCCCAATGTGCAGTGTATTTAATAAGCTTAGGCCCAGGAAGCTCGAATCATCCAACCTCGACAAGTGATTGAAAGTTAGGTCCCTGTAAAGAAAAAAATAACAAAAACCAAATAATAGCTTTTCTTTTCCAACACAACATGATTTGTTTTCCAAAAAACAGGTAATATACGTAAACCAGAAAAATCCTTATTTTAAAAGTCTACCTTCTTAATAATACACAGATAAACATTATTTCTAATCCTAGTAATTAAATAAAAAACATTCTGTTTATTTGAAAATAACCATCATTGCTTCAGCCTGTGCGCCTCAGACCTGAAACAGCAGAGTTGGCTTCAACTTATCATAATAAAAATATGACTAGGTTGCATGTGAAAAAAGCTGTCACCTTGGAAACTCTGTTATGAAAATTTCACAGATCAGAGGTAAGAAGCTCATGCTCTGGCATGATCCCTGCTCTCAAAGCTGAAGAGAATAAAGGCAACTCACAGCTCACTGAGCTTCTGGCAGAACTCCCAGGCATCGGGGCTGATCTTGGTGATGGCATTCTGGCTGAGATGAAGTTCCTGCAGCATCAGCAGGCCGTAAAGCCAGCCCTTGGTAATCTCCGTCAGGTTGTTATGGTCCAGCTGCCTACATTTACCATAAGAATCAAAAGGAAGATCAAAAGTTCATTATCTTGTCTCTTCAAAGGGGACATATGATTACAACCTACTACACAGTCCCATTGTTACTGGATGTTTAGCTTTTGTGATATAAAGACAGCAGCAAAAAAATTCCATGTGCTTATAAATTCTCAGTCACATTACCTGAAACAAAACTAAATACTAAATTATAAATAAGATGGTAAATTATGAGATTTTAACATAGGATTTCAAATAAAAGCTACTGAATGTTCACTGAGCAATCTACGCTCATAATACCTGCGTAGAAACTGTGAGAACCCACACTTACAAGATTTCCATGTTGCTCAGCCCCCAAAAAGCACCATCCATCAGTTTTGTTACTCCATTTCTTTGCATTTTCAGAGACTTCAGAGCACCAAGCCCTTGGAATGTGAGCCCATCTACATTTTTAATCTTGTTTCGGTTCAGCTCGCTGCATTGGAAATTACAGATAAATGGTCAGCTTATGTGACAAACTCTGGAGGTAGCAATAAAATGTGACATTACTATAATATAGTTAAACCAGCCAGTGTTAAATTACACAGAATGTTTTAAATTTCTAAACATTTTTATTGAGAACCATTTCGATTTATTAGCAGTGAGTGAATTTCCTTCTGCAAAGTGTGATGTATTTTTTGGAATAATACAATATTGAAACTAGACTACACTTTAATTTCTAAACTGATGTCCCTCCGTATAGAATTAAATGAATTAATATTTGTTTTTAAGTTATCCAGCATGAGAACAGCGAATGTCATGTGAAAACACTAGGTCTATTCAGGAGCAGGGCCGTCAAGTTTATCCTGTTCAAGCTGCTCACAAAAGTCGGTCATTCTGTTTCACGATCTTCTTAGTTGAATGCTTTCTCTTTAAGGCAGTCGTTCTCAACACTGGTTGCACCCTGGAGTCACCTGAGGAGTTTTAAAAATTACTGAAGCCTGGATCTTACCCCCAGAGGGTCTAAAGTAATTGGTCTAGGGTGTGGTCTGGGCATTGGGATTTTTAAAAGCTCCCCAAGTGTCTGTAATGTGCAGCCAAGGTTGAAAACCACGATACGGTAGGAGCCTGTTCACAGATCATTCTACCATTATTAACGAGACAGTTCTTTACAGCCACTTAAGCTATCAGAGCCTCCTGCAGTTGTCGGTATTAGTCTCATAAACCACAGCTGTTGAGAGTCCCCATAATTTCTTCAGTGCCACAATGACGCCTTTGTATGGAGACTGCTCAGTGATTACACTGTTCACTCTTCCAGTAACAACCCAAGGAGCCTCGTCAGGCAGGAGCCCGCACTCGGGCTCTCAAAGGGCACTCGGCCACATTCTTGCTTCTCAACTCTTTTTGCCACATTGTGGATTTCAGGGGACAGACACCAAGGGTTTAGAGGAGGTGAGGAAACAACATCTAAGAGGGCATTTTACTTACAGGTGCTGCAGCTGGGGCAGTCTAAACATCTTGGGCGGGATAGCTGAGATTCGGTTCCTGTTTAGCTTCAACACCAGCAGCGTGTTGGCCAAATTGTCAAAATACCCAGGTTCCATCGATGTGACTCGGTTGCTGTTGATATACCTGTTGAAAGTTTGAAGATGAGCTTCCCTTTCTGCTTTCTTTGGAAGCTGAAGTGCATGCATTCTCTATATCATAAAGAATCTCCAGAGAACCTAACCATCATTTGTAACAATGGACACTTAAAATAATCACTCTGTAGGTCCTTGTGGACCAATACTGTAAGATTCACAGATATTTCTCGGGAAAGAGATATTGGAATATTTGAAGGTTACAAAAATTTGTTAGAGATGCTTATCCACTTTTTATGAAATTCATTTACTAATGAAGCACAGAAATGGTTTAATTTTCATTATTTTTTAAAAAGAAGCACTTTTCACCCCATACTGTTTTTCTAACAGTCAAAGGATGTCTAATTTTTTTGTAATTCAGAGGTGTAAACACAAAATGAAGACTGTGGTTATCTGGGCTTATAGCAAATTACAAGTCAGTAAGATAAGAAATTTACATTTTTGATCCACCAGCAGTAAAATAGGCAGAGTTCGTTATACTTTCAAGTCAATTTTTTTAATTATAACACGGTATTTTCAGCATAGGTATAAATTTTTGTTAAAGAAATCTTGACTTACAGATATTTGAGTTGTAGAGGTGGAAATGCAGTTTTAAGCTCTGAAATATTATTGTTGCTCAGGTCCAAAGTTTCGAGGGACCAAAATTGTTTCAGATGTTCAGGTAATATTTCAACAATCCTGTTGCCAGCTCTAGAATCAAAGGATAGCACAGGTAACAGGGTTAATGGTACAACAACCTGAAAGGTGAAAAATATTTTCTATTCCTAACTCGTTCTTCAGAAATATGGAAAACTGATTTTCCATATTTTAACTTTTAAAAGTTAAACAGCAACTCTTTAGTCACTTTGATTTTGCATTAAATAGTAAATCATAATACTAGAATATATGAAAAATATTCCTATATAAATATGGGTGTGTTTAATAGCTGTGGTTATCTAAACACTATGCAAATGGTTTGATTTTTCTTTATGTTATTTTGTTAACAGTCCTTCCTTATCATTTTATTAAGTGGTATGTAAAAATGCCTAGGACCAAGATGGCATTCCGGGCACTGATGTGTTAGTTCCTTCTTCCTTCTTCTTGATTCCTAATCTATTTCTAATTCTTCTCTTGGAAAGTACACACACTACAGGTGCCAATGAACTTAAAATACACGGCTTTCTTAAAGCCATGCTAGAGAGATGTCTCTTTCTTTAAGAAACAGCAAGTTTCAAAGCACTGCCACAGTCTTCAAAACCAGTGGATACGCTCCAGGGCTTTGAATATTACAGAAGTATTACAGAAGAGCACCCCACTCTAAATAATCCCTAGGAGTAATTAGATTAAAAATTTTGACATTAACAATCCGAAACACCAGACCATGATGTCCAATATGGCAGCCCACGTGGCTCTTTAAATTTAAATGAATTAAAATTAAATGTTAAAATTCAGTTTCCTAGTCACAGTAGCCACATCTCAGGTTCTCAACAGCCACATGTGCCTGGTGGCTGTCAAACAGGACAGTTCACATACAGAACATTTCCACTATTTATGTGCACTCTACTAGGCCACAAATGAAAACACAAAAAAGGGGCCAAATCAACGCTCTTAAAAGGTCATCAGCTTCCAAGGGGAAATTCAGCATTCAATGACCATCCTGCTAGCAAACAGGAATTAAACTGATATGCAGTTTAAAGTAGTTAACCTTCACTTAATGAGGAAACTTAGACAATATATCTCCTATACACGTGTATCTTTCTTAGCAACATGCATTTCTACGGCGCTTTGAGTTTCGTCAGCTCTTCTGCATTGTTATAACTCACAGGCCTCGCACCATCTCAGAGGTTCCTGAGGTAGGTGCACTCTGACGTGTTTTCACAAAACCCTGTACTGCATCTCGACACAGCACCTACCCTGGCGGTCTCTGCCACACGGGGAGCTCCTTCCAAGCAGGGACAGGTCTCTACCCCTCTGTCTTAGAATCTGTGCGGAATGTAATGAGGTTGACGACATATCGGACGCCAAGCCCTGTGCTCAGCATTTTTCCTATATTATGCCATTTAATCAATGACATTTCTCTGTTGTAGATATTATAGGTAATACTAAAATCAGGAAACTAGGGCTTCTAACCAAATGAGTCCAAGCACTTCCCAAGCCACCTCACAGAGTAACCGTGTTGGTCCCAAAGCAATCCATGAGGGCTTGTTTCATAGAACAGTTTCAAACATTTTGGCAATTAAGTTCTTCCGTGGAGATGCACCTCCAGAAAGGCCCACCACCTCCGACCCTCGCAAGAACGCTGAACTTCTGGTTTCACACTAATGTGGGGATCCGCACTGGCTCACTGAGCAGTCATCAGGCCAACACCAAGGATGCCCTGGAAACAGAGCACCCCCCAGTCTGTGCTTGCACCCCAGGTAGATAAGGGGGGCCCCCAGGGGTTTGCACGTATTTAGCATCCACCAGAGCGGAAGATCTACCTCCTGAATGTGTGCAAACATCGGGTGCCGCTTTCCCCACAAGAAAGAAGCAGAGGAGAAAATGGGCTGTACGTCTTCTATGGAAACAACAACAAAATAGCAGAACTTCTCAAAATGTTGTTAAAAGCTTCCCTATGTTACTTCTAAGGACTGTGGGGAATCGTCCTTTCTGATCCAAGTCATTGGAGAACTTAACCCCATTTTTTGAAGTAATCCTACACAAGGTAACAAGCATGGGTGGTACATATCTTAAGAGCCGAATTTGTCTGTGATAATAGTAAGATTAAAAAAAAAAAGGATCAGCAGTCCTGTGTACAAGTCACAAATATCAAGCCCCTCAGACTCCCATAAAGTCTTACAGACTTTGTTTAGAGTCAAGTCAGCCATGACCTCTGATTTTGACCATTTCCCACATCTGGATTCGCCAGTGTCTAAACGCCTTGATCTAGCTGTGAGGTAGAGGGTAATGCAAGTGAGACAATTAGTCAACTTCTAGGTCCCGGAGATGGATTTAGTCCCAGAGACAAGCCACAAGGCCTTAGGGTCAGGGTGTGTGGGTTAAACAAAACCACGCTTTTGGGGACAAAAATGTTCTCCTAAATACATAACCCAAATGTTTGCATTACCAGGATGTCCTCCCACAGACAGCTGAGTAACCCCGAAGCACCCCTCTCTCTCCAGCTCCCTCCCCTGTCTCTAGCTGCTACCTCCCATCAAACTCTGCATCTGGTTTTGGCCCCCAGGCTGTCTGGGGCAAGTACAGCTATGCTTATATTTAACAACAACAGGAAAGCAAACGCTCAGCTATAGATTTTTGCAATAAATGGAGCAAATTGTTTTTTTGTGGGAGGGAGAGGGAGACCCACAGGTGTCTATCACATTGGTCAAATAGAGCTACGAGTTAGATTACAGGCCATACAATCTTTGGTTTATATATTCGTTTGTTTATAAGGTAATTATGAACAAGGTATTAAAACTGCCAATTACTTGAGTGACGAATAAAATTTTCCTTGCAGTTAAAGTACGCTCCAGCCAAAGCCAGCAATTTCCTGAACTGCACACCTCCTAAATGGCAGTGTGAAAGTGCTCAGGGAGAGATGGAGCGTGGACAGGGCCGTCTTTGTGAGCACTGCTTCCCAGCACAAAAATCCCTCACAACTGCCAGGAGAATAGTCCCTGTATCACAAAATGAGAACTCTGTCCTAAAGGAATGGAATTAAATCCAAACACCAGTTTCACATTAGCTCTCAGACTAACTAGCAAATAACCACCTGATATGTACCAGTTTAAAAAAAATTTGCTTTATATCATGAAAGAAGGGTTAAAAAAAAAAAGGAGACAACTACATTAAAAATTAGATTAAACAATCTTTTTAATCACTGAAAACCCTCAAAATAAACATATTTCATAATGGAGTGGCTCACAAATAGCTGCTTCTAGAAGACAAAGATTCAATTCAACTCCAGCTTTCGCTTTTCTCCAAATATGGGTAAATGCCAAAACTGATGAACACGTTAAAAGCATTGCAGTTAATTAATAGTTTTGGCGGGAAATGTGCAATGCTTTAACAAAAAACAAAACACACTGTGTGAATACCTTTTTCCATTACTTAAGTTAATGTGGAAATGCCATCTTTCCATTGTTCAAAGATCACAATATGGTACTGCAGGTATTGGAAGGTATTTCAGCCCTGTGCATATGCATCTTAAGGACTACGAATATTTTGGTCATCTATGTCTGTTGATAGTACAAGGTGTTCCACAGTCAAACCATTGCTGAGGTCAAGTATAATTAGTCCCTTGTGGACTTATCCCTGGGGGCTTGGTTGGTAGGAACGAAGATGGTTCTCTCAGGCTTCCAAGAGGCCACAGGAAAAACAGGATTGTCACGTATTTCAGCCTTGGCTTCTCAGGCCCAACAATAATGGTTCTACTTTCTCGCTAATTTCACCTTTCAGCCTTCTTTGCCAAATACCTTTAAAATGCAGAGGCAAACAAGACTTACCATTTTCTTATGATGGTATTTGCTCTTAGAGTGCTGAAGATCTAACAATGAACGAGACGGATCTAGTCCCTGACCTCACGGAGCTTAAATTCTAGTGGAGGAGAACCGGCTGGCAAATGGGGGCAGTCACCAGAGTGAGAAGATAGTGTAGAGATGGGAGGAGATGAGAGCAGGTCAAGGGGAGCCCTGTAAACCATGTTAGGCATTTGGGCCTTATTTCAAGATGAAGTAAGGGGAGGAGGATGGAGGATTTCAAATGGTGGGGTGACTATATCAGACGTGCATCTTAGAAAGGCTGCTCCAGCAGCACTGACAGAAAGACTGGATGGGAGGCAGGCAAGACCAGGCACAGAAGCACCATCTGCAGGAGCAGAGGACAGATGATGGTGTGTTAGGGTGATGGTGACTGTCTGCCTAGATGCCCACTTTGGGGTGAAGCACTGCTCTTCCTCTGGTTCCCAGGGCACAGGGTCTGCTTGTCTCCTCCCCTGACATACAAGCTCGGGTTTCCAGCTCTGCAGCCTCTGGCCCCGGGGACCCAGTTCAGAGTCCCATTCCCTCTGTCTGTCACTGCTGCGCTGTGTGTTGCTGATATAGGAGGCCTTCCAAAGCACGGAGTGCACACTAGCGACCCCGCTTGCTCAGGGGTGAGATGTTCCCGACCAGGACAGCCCAGGACTGGCATTTTAATGTGTCTGTAATCACTAGGAAAACGGAAAAATGTGCTATTCTCATATGTAAGAAATATGCTTGTTTGTTCTGATACTCTGAACACCTGCACTAAATGTAAACCTGGGCTAATTTATGAGCTTAGAGACAGGACCACTTCGTGTGACGATGAGTGGTTCTACCTTGTGACTCACTGTCGTCTCCAGAAAGCCTATGAGTCTCAAAAGAACTTCATGCACTCTTGGAAGGAGAGTCACAGAGTGAAATATTCTTTGTTAGTGAGGAACCAGAATATCAGGTTTTTTCACACTGGAATTCCTGAACCAATTAAACTGTAGCTTCTTGATGAATAAGAACTATCTGTCAATAGTCTGAACTGTCTCCTACCCGTTGCACAAGATAACAGGCAGCTTAAGGCTTCGCAGCCATGATGTGTAAAGACACGCAATCCTGGCTACTTCAAAAAGGTATGTGCATGTGGCATTTTCCTTGTAGAGACGGTGTTTGCGGTGAAATTTAATTTGAAACCTTTTTTTTTTATATGTTGCAATGCCCTCT